GCTCTTCCCCAATTTATCACTGAGAGTTTTTAAGCGACTCTCCTTGTGGAAATGCCGACTGGAGACAGCTGCTCTGGGCAGGAAGAAGGTGAAGCAGCAGGAGAGCGCAGGGAGCGGTGCCGTGGGAGCCCGCAGCGAGGCAGCCGCAGCGTTCTGCAGCCGCAGCACGGCCGGGAGCGGGGCAGGCAGCGGCTCTGCCAAACCCACCGCGGTCCTCAGGAGATGCTGAGACCATAAACAAACACAACTCCCCGCAGGCAGCAAGTCCTGCCAGCTGACGGGAACAACGCTCTGACAGCACAGAGCTACAATTTCAGGATTTGTCTCTGCCCACTCTCCTCTCCTGCATCCCCCCACCTCCTCCCTGGGCCAAGCAGCAAAGCCCACCGCTTACCCTCCCCGGGATGTCCAAACGCCCCCAGCAGGGGAAACAAATAACAGATTCCCACGAGGACAGGCTGGGGGAGTTGGGGGGGTTCAGCCTGGAGAAGAGAAGGCCAAAAAGGGGAGAGCTCAGAGCCCCTTCCAGTGCCCAAAGGGGCTCCAGGAGAGCTGGGGAGGGACTTTTGACAAGGGCATGGAGTGATGGGCGGTGAGCCCCTGGGGCAGGTTGCCCCGAGAAGCTGTGGCTGCCCCATCCCTGGAGGTGTTCAAGGCCAGGTTGGACGGGGCTTGGAGCACCCTGGGCTGGGGGGAGGTGGCCCTGCCCAGGGCAGGGGGTGGGAATAGAGATGATCTTCAAGGTCCCTTCCAACCCAAACCATTCTGTGATTCAATGATTTCCATACACAGATATCAAAACTCGTATTTCAGCTGCCGCCAGCCGCCGCCTGCCCTGTGCGCCAGACCCTCACCGGGCTGGGTTAATGGTGCTGGTCGGTCTCCCCAGCCATGCAGGTCACATGCGTTTGTGGCAGGGGCGGCCCCCCGGCCACCCCCCCGGGTGAAGCCGCAGGCTGGGCACCAGCCCCGTGATGGTTCAACTCATAGTGGCCAGGCAGGACGGGCTCGCGCGTACCCCCGGTGCTGCCCTGCACTCGGGAAGCATCCTCAGACACGCTCCAGCAGAGACCACCCCGCAGAGGAACGAGACACCAGTCTGCAGTGAGGAGAGCATTGGGAGCAGGAGGGATGGAGGCAACCCCGGACCATCCGCACCAGCCATGTCCCCTTTCGCGTGGCTCAAGGACCAGAAACCCAGAGTTTGAGCGCAACTGCTCTGCTCCAGCCTGAGCCAAAGGCAGCTCCTTGGGCTGGGAAAGGCAGTGCCCCAGGGCAGGGCTGAATGCCCCCCGTCGCCCTGCCGCCCGCCATCCCTCCTAACGAGACATTCGTTAACGAGGCCGGGAACGGGCAGGTCCCAGCAGCTGCTGCTCTGGCTGGGGACGCAGACGGGGACAG